AACGCATCAAACCCTAATAGAAATTTGTTTCTAAATGCCTCAGGTACCACACTGCGTCGTCAAAGTGCCGAAATATTGCACTTTGCATGTGCAGTAGAATTGATATAGGCGGCTCATGTACGTATTGCAATGCTGATACCAAATAATTAATTACTCGTTACCCGAGCATTATTTATGAACTTTTATGCTCGAACCATGTAAATAATGCATTGCTGAACATTCTTCAGTTATAAAAGTGCACAAAATATATCCACAAAACATGTAATTAATTATTCAAAATGACCTCGTATATACTGCTTGTCACCGTGACTGGCCTTAGGTTATTAGTTAATATCTAATTAATTTCATTAAAAATCTGAACAAATATGATACGAGAAAGTAGCTGAGGGATCACTGAACATTCTTTTATAATAAAAGTGCATAAATTGTGTTTAGAAAATGTGTTATTAATTATTTCATATTAGCTCATGTGTACTATGTATTCCGCCGACTTCGTGTTGGATATTAATTAATAACTAATTATTTATAATAAAAATGTGAACATATGTGATATGAGAAAGTAGCTAGGGAATCACTGAACATTCTTTAATCATAAAAGTTCATAGACTGTGCTCAGAAAGTAAGTAATTAACGATTTTGCATACTCATTATCGTGTATATTCCTCCTGCGCACCGCCCGTGCATGCCACGAAGGAATAATTACTGAAAATCCATATCCCCGTAGACTTTAATACAAAATTGAATTTGCTCGCGCTTATGTACTTGACTTTTCAACTTTTTGGTCCACGTTTTTCTCTTGCACCACTTAACCAATTCAACCGGATGTCACGGTTGACTATTCTTGACTGATTTCGAGGGGGATCCCCCCAGTAGTGGGGATAGAATTTTAACATTTACGGAAGAGATCTTTTTAACATTTACGGAGAGAATACTGTACAAAACAACCTACTCAACAAAAATTTTATTTCACAATATTCATCGATACGTAATAACATTTTTTCCGAAACAGGGTGACGTTAAGAGGGTCATTCAGCACTTCCACTTCACCACGTGGCCAGATTTCGGTGTCCCAAGTCCACCTCAAACCTTAGCCAGATTCGTGAGAGCATTTAGGGAAAGAGTTCGTCCAGATCAAAGACCAATCGTGGTTCATTGTAGCGCTGGAGTGGGTCGCAGCGGTACTTTCATTACCTTAGATCGAATCCTTCAGCAGATCTTGGTGTCCAAGTATGTGGATATCTTCGGAATAGTTTGGGCAATGAGGAAAGAGCGTGTCTGGATGGTCCAAACCGAGCAACAGTACATCTGCATACATCAGTGCCTTCTGGCGGTGTTGGAAGGCCAGGATATGACTGGACCACCTAGGGAAATTCATGACAATCAAGGGTTCGAAGGTGAGTTTGACTGGTGAACGTCTTCAGTTGTTGTTATCTTGAGTATTAGGATAGAATCTATCATCTTGAAAGATAACCTTGCGAGTTTATATTTGATTCTTTGCGAAAGAGCTTTTCTAGAGTGGTATACAAGTTGAAATGTGCGTAGAGTAACAGTCTTTGGTGATATTTTTGAGCGGTGCTTTCCAAGTGTCATTTCCATCATTTATTGGTTTTTCGAGTTGTTTAAAATTAGCATTTAGTGTCAGTATTTGTTGACAAAATAAATTCTATTATTTGATATTGAAAAATAAAAATTTCTTCACATATTTACGAAATAATTATGTTACTTTAAAATGTTAATGCGAATAACTTAGGTGATAAATTCTTATATTTATAAATCTTCAAACTCTCCAGTTACTAAATTTCCAAATTTTCATATTCACAAGTTAATAAATTTCCAAAGCACCAAATATTCCTAAATTTTTTATCTTCACAAATCCCAAAAATTTTCAAATTCTCAAATTTCAAATTTGTAAATTTGCCAATGCCAAATCTTCGAATGCTAACAGTACCCTTTTAATAGAAAGCACTGTTTCAAATAAAGAACTGAAGTTGAGATACTTAAAATTTCTTGTGACAAAAAATATAAATTGTTTAACCGTTATATTTTTATAGCAATGAAAAATGAAGTTGGTTTGAGAAAAAATGTTAAAAAGAAATGTTGGACCTGTATAAACTAACAAATTTTGTCTCTAATTTCGGCAGAAGTAAACACAAGTTAGAATTTTATTAATAATAAAGTGTGAGTTTATAATAGACTTATACATATGTGTTTTTACTTTATACAGCACAAATTTTGTATATTTTATACAATTACATTTTCGAGTATTTACACATGGTATAACTTTTTAATACTAGCAGAAGAAGTGTATAAAAAGAAACAAATTCTTAATGAACTGTTTACAAATTTAATGTTAATTATTCAAATAAAGAGCTGCAACTTTGTTTTAATGTGACAACAGAAAAATCAACAGTTTTTTTTAATTATCATTAAATTGTGAAATGAATATCCACTTTAGGAAAGCTCACGTATAATTGACACTGAAATCGTGAAATACAAAGTGAATAAATATTATTTAAGTAAAGATTTCAATATTCGTTAATTTGTTGAGTGAGAAGTGCATTTTTCCTTGTGTTTGAATTAAATTGTTCGAAACAGGAAACAGTAGTGCATGTATTATATGATTCAAGGTTGATGAAGTATTTACAAAATTTGCAGATGCTTCGAAAAATCATAATAATTTACACGCAGTGGTGATGGGCGTTCGATACCTTTTCTCGTCAATTTTCAATATCGCGAAGTTCGAAAGTTTTGAATATTTCAAAATATCTACTTTTTAATAAAAAGTACAAAAGAATTAACTAACTCTTCAACTGGTCACAGTCTATAAATTATTTCAGGTATTGTTTTCAAAATGTAGAATTTAAATAAAGTTTGAAATGTAAACACAATTGATAATAAAATCTAAAAATATGTATTATAATTGATTATAATTTCTGAAAATGCAAATGTAATTAATAGTAAAATGTAAAAACATAAATATTATCAATACAGAAAAATATTAATATAAATATGATCAATAATGAAATGGAAAACTGCAAATGTAATCAATAATAAAATTCAAGAATGTAAATATGATCAATGATAAAATGTAATAAAATAATTTTCAGAAAAAAAATACACCGACTTCGAAATGCACTAAAAAGTATAAAATAATTTCTATTTCCTAATGAAGTAATTTCTATTTCTTTGAATCATACAATTACGTCACAGATATGAATTAAACCTATTTACTCGTTAGGCAGTATATTAAATACATTTCAACCTTTTCGGAGGCGGCGCAAAATTAAAAGATTTTTTTGAGCATGTCAACCTTTGGACAGCCGAACATAGGCAAAGCTTGTATAGCCATTTTTTTTTCTATACATATAACTCGACAGCACGCCGCGAAGTAGGTGTTAATGCGTATAGAATGTAACTATGGTCTATCTAGCCCTTTGCGAAAATGTAAATACATATAGTCAATGATAAAATCTAAAAATGTGAATATAGTCAATAGTAAAATCTAAAACTGTAAATATAGTCAATGATAAAACCTAAAAATGTAAATACATATAGTCAATGATAAAATCTAAAAATGTGAATATAGTCAATAGTAAAATCTAAAACTGTAAATATAGTCAATGATAAAACCTAAAAATGTAAATACATATAGTCAATGATAAAATCTAAAAATGTGAATATAGTCAATAGTAAAATCTAAAACTGTAAATATAGTCAATGATAAAACCTAAAAATGTAAATACATATAGTCAATGATAAAATCTAAAAATGTGAATATAGTCAATAGTAAAATCTAAAACTGTAAATATAGTCAATGATAAAACCTAAAAATGTAAATACATATAGTCAATGATAAAATCTAAAATGTAAATATATTCAATGATAAAGTGTAAAAATGTAAATATAGTCAATGATAAAGTGTAAAAATGTAAAACTAGTCAATGATAAAATGTAAAAATGTAAATACAGTCAATGATAAAATCTAAAAATGTAAATATAGTCACTGATAAAATCTAAAATGTAAATATATTCAATGATAAAGTGTAAAAATGTAAATATAGTCAATGATAAAGTGTAAAAATGTAAAACTAGTCAATGATAAAATGTAAAAATGTAAATACAGTCAATGATAAAATCTAAAAATGTAAATATAGTCACTGATAAAATCTAAAATGTAAATATATTCAATGATAAAGTGTAAAAATGTAAATATAGTCAATGATAAAGTGTAAAAATGTAAAACTAGTCAATGATAAAATGTAAAAATGTAAATACAGTCAATGATAAAATCTAAAAATGTAAATATAGTCACTGATAAAATCTAAAATGTAAATATATTCAATGATAAAGTGTAAAAATGTAAATATAGTCAATGATAAAGTGTAAAAATGTAAAACTAGTCAATGATAAAATGTAAAAATGTAAATACAGTCAATGATAAAATCTAAATATGTAAACATAGTCAATGATAAAACCTAAAAATGTAAATACATATAGTCAATGATAAAATCTAAAAATGTGAATATAGTCAATAGTAAAATCTAAAACTGTAAATATAGTCAATGATAAAACCTAAAAATGTAAATACATATAGTCAATGATAAAATCTAAAAATGTGAATATAGTCAATAGTAAAATCTAAAACTGTAAATATAGTCAATGATAAAACCTAAAAATGTAAATACATATAGTCAATGATAAAATCTAAAAATGTGAATATAGTCAATAGTAAAATCTAAAACTGTAAATATAGTCAATGATAAAACCTAAAAATGTAAATACATATAGTCAATGATAAAATCTAAAAATGTGAATATAGTCAATAGTAAAATCTAAAACTGTAAATATAGTCAATGATAAAACCTAAAAATGTAAATACATATAGTCAATGATAAAATCTAAAAATGTGAATATAGTCAATAGTAAAATCTAAAACTGTAAATATAGTCAATGATAAAACCTAAAAATGTAAATACATATAGTCAATGATAAAATCTAAAAATGTGAATATAGTCAATAGTAAAATCTAAAACTGTAAATATAGTCAATGATAAAACCTAAAAATGTAAATACATATAGTCAATGATAAAATCTAAAATGTAAATATATTCAATGATAAAGTGTAAAAATGTAAATATAGTCAATGATAAAGTGTAAAAATGTAAAACTAGTCAATGATAAAATGTAAAAATGTAAATACAGTCAATGATAAAATCTAAAAATGTAAATATAGTCACTGATAAAATCTAAAATGTAAATATATTCAATGATAAAGTGTAAAAATGTAAATATAGTCAATGATAAAGTGTAAAAATGTAAAACTAGTCAATGATAAAATGTAAAAATGTAAATACAGTCAATGATAAAATCTAAAAATGTAAATATAGTCACTGATAAAATCTAAAATGTAAATATATTCAATGATAAAGTGTAAAAATGTAAATATAGTCAATGATAAAGTGTAAAAATGTAAAACTAGTCAATGATAAAATGTAAAAATGTAAATACAGTCAATGATAAAATCTAAAAATGTAAATATAGTCACTGATAAAATCTAAAATGTAAATATATTCAATGATAAAGTGTAAAAATGTAAATATAGTCAATGATAAAGTGTAAAAATGTAAAACTAGTCAATGATAAAATGTAAAAATGTAAATATAGTCAATGATAAAATCTAAATATGTAAACATAGTCAATGATAAAGTCTAAATATGTTAATATAGTCAATGATAAAATATGAAAATGTAAATACAGTCAATGATAAAATCTAAATATGTAAACATAGTCAATGATAAAACCTAAAAATGTAAATACATATAGTCAATGATAAAATCTAAAATGTAAATATATTCAATGATAAAGTGTAAAAATGTAAATATAGTCAATGATAAAGTGTAAAAATGTAAAACTAGTCAATGATAAAATGTAAAAATGTAAATACAGTCAATGATAAAATCTAAAAATGTAAATATAGTCACTGATAAAATCTAAAATGTAAATATAGTCAATGATAAAATCTAAAAATGTGAATATAGTCAATAGTAAAATCTAAAACTGTAAATATAGTCAATGATAAAACCTAAAAATGTAAATATAGTCACCGATAAAACCTAAAAATGTAAATATAGTCAATGATAAAACCTAAAAATGTAAATATAGTCATCGATAAAACCTAAAAATGTAAATATAGTCAATAATTAACCCTAAAAATCTAAATATAAAAAATAATAAAACCTAGAAATATAAATGTAATCAACAGTAAAATCTAAAAATAAGAATACAAACAATGTATGAACAAACATACAATACAGTTATAATAGTTTATAATATCGAAATTATTAAGACGTAACTTACACTTCATTGAAGCTCTAAAGCCTCTCGATATCAAACCTTTCGAAATTTCGACGATATTCAAAACGTTTCATATATTGAAACCCATCACTCATGATTAATGTTTATCCGTTCTTTGTTCTCTCTTCCCTAATTTCAGTGATTTGTAAACTTGCAAGTTTCCTCTTCTTGCTCCGTAATATTCCAAATCACTAAAATTACATTCGAAAACGACATATTTGTATCTATACCTCCGAGTCAAAAATTGTGAATAAATCTCTATCGACTAAAAATACCGATCTTCTTTGAACGATCAAGTGGTGATGGTGGTGGTGGTAGTGATATTGATTTTATAAGACGGGGTACATTCGATTTTATGTCACGTGCAAAGATGTTGCTTTTGGTAAATTGTGTCACATCCGTACGTAGCGAATCACTTCCCTTCTGCAACCTTGTACTCCCTTTGAATCCAGGCAAGAATCGAAGCTCCGTTGAAAACGCAAACAGTCCTGCTGAAGATGAAAAGGAAAGGTGACCCTCAAACTGCGATTCCTGCGTCGATGGTAATTTCGATCCTGGCTTCTTTCTCTTTCGCTTGTCTTTCTTTCTTCTTTGAACAGCGTGTCGCATGTTATTATTAATAGTGCACGTTGCACGAACACACTGTTTCAAAATTAGTATACAAGCTTCAAAAGGAACATAATCGGTGGCAGAAGTATTTTTTTACTTCGTTACAATTTATATTTTTAATAATGTTATTAATCAATGATATTTACGTCATTTTATTTAGAAGTGTAACATACACTATCGTCCATAAGTATCCAGACACTTGATTTCGTTACATAAAACATAGTTGAACTTTGTACGAAAGGTATTTAGGGTTATCATATCATTTGTAATAATTATTATTATCTTTTTTGAGGTGTCATAACGTAATAGAATTAACTTTTAAGTACAAATTATACAATGAAAGTGTGAAAGTAAAATTCATGTCCAGAGGTACAAAGTCCAAATTTGTGAACCTAATGAAACACTTTCGATTCTAAAAAAAATTTTAATTTCTACGGTGCTTCATTTCTATGGTGCAGAACGTATTCAGAGGGTTCTTCGATATGTTTCAAGTGTTTGTAAACTGTTGGTAGATGTTTAGGTTCCCTCAATGGAGATAAGAATGGAGGTAACGCTATACACTCGACAGTTTCGGTTTAGTTCGTCTGTAGCTTCTTTTCCATCGAGATATGAGTTCCAAACGAGAATTATCAATCGAAAAACGTTCCAGTATTCTGACCTCCGCAGAAAAAAAATCGATTTTAGTTACTGTTGCAGATACTTGAATAACTTTCATGCAACGCGAATGAATATTTCGCTGGTGTCCGGATACTTATGGACGGTAGTGTACGTGAACATATTTGCGTGAACATACATAAAATACATGAAAAAAATATAATATAATAACTGTTTCTGTAAACAAAAAGTATAATGTAGTATAGTATATTACAGTATAATGTAATATATCATTATGCAATATAGTGAAATATAATGAAATTTAAATAATATAAATATGAATTTAAGTAATATAGTGAAGTTTGAATGACATAATATAATGTTATATAACAAAATATCGTGAAATTTGAGAGTATAGTATAAAATAAAATTTACAAATATAAATGTACTTCAGAAATATCACGAAATTAGTTAATGATTAATTATTATTGAATTAATAATGAATTTTGTTATCTTATAAATCGTTGTCGGTTTTGATATGCTTTTCAGTATTTTTATTTGAATTAATTTAGTTTTTGTGGTACGTTTAGATTTTCTACTTCGAAATTCATAATTTGATGTAATTTAATAAGTTTGATTCGATTGTTTCAATAATCAATGTAATACTTTTAAATAAAGTGATGTAAATGTTACAGTGATAAATATTTTTACGAAGTGTGTTCTCTATTTAAATGTCTTTGTGAATTAGAATATTTGAGTTTTTCAAGAACTTGATATTAAAAGCAAAATTAACGTGGAGTCAAATATGTTAGATTCTAAAACTAGTCATTTGCTAATATGACAATTTAATAACGATATATTAACAGTATATAAGATATATTAAAACTGTTTAAATATTTGAAATGAATTTTAATGTGTAGCAACGAGTTATTATTGCATATAGTTAATTAATCGAAGTAAGATAAATAAGCTAAAAATCAAAAATCAAATCAGGTATCACAGAAAAAATGTTAGAATAGTATTTACTAGAAAAAATTTACTAGCAAAAATTAGTAGAAAAAATTACTATCAAAATTTGATATTGACAAGTTTCAAAAAAAATAAAATATTACTTTACTATTGCAGCTTCAATAAGTTTACACTAAAATTCCTAGAATAATTACTTTTAATTCTATTTTCTATAAAATTGAAAATGCTCTATTTCTTAGTGCTACATTAGCATAATCATATTTTTATACAATAATTTTGCATAAAAAGATATTTGGATGGTTACAGGTACTCATTTATTTTACATTTTGAAGCTATAATATTTCCATTTATTTACTTTAGAGTAACGCTGTAGTATTTAATTTTTACAGGACTATTTATAAACTATTTCAGTCGTTACATAGTTAAGCGAACTTCACTGCATGGCATGATAATTGTTCATGAGTTCGTAGGTCATAATGTTCTGCAATATCAATGATTTATAAATTTACAAGTTCTTTTTCTTATAGTTAGCTTTTGATAGTACATAAACACTGCATATTTATTTTTTATGAACTTGTTGCAAATTTAATTATAAACATTTCTGCAATCTAAGAAAACATAAAACAGTGTTACCAATACAATGTTCAGGAATAATTAAATTTTAATTCAGTTAGTAAATAATTTAATAGATTAATAGAAACTGTTTATTTTTTTCATCCTATTTGACTTGAAAATGGAAGTAATAAATTTCTTATTCTTTATTTAACCAATTTCGATTTTTATTTCAATTACTTAGGTATGTATAACTCATAAACATAAAAATCAACTGACGCAACAGGTCGTTAGTTTGCTATAAAAATTTTAAATACGAGCCATAAAATAACATGATACAATTATTCAAATCACATCAAACTTTTTATAAAAATTAAAAAATATGAAAATAAAAAAATCATAGAAATTTTCGTTTACTCTATGAAAATCAAACGAAACCATTGTAACAAAACATTAAAATGTATTAAATAATTTATTCATACATATAACATAAATGTATTTATTTAACAGACTCCTAGAAAATATATTACTTCAATTTCAAAATCACACTGGATAAACAAAAAAACTAGTTTCTAATCAACATTAAAAAGGTTTCAATTACGACAGAACACTAATTTACTAATCCACTATAAAATCATAACCATAATGAAAGCCATACTCACACGCATCTTGTCTACTCACAAAAATCGATCAAACACTAATAAGTCGCCATCATTATTTTAATGGAGAACATTAGGAAACGTAGTAACTGCATCTAATCGATCTGCTTCACAAACGAATTTAGCCTGGCATGATTTGATCCTAATTCACGCGTCATCCATTTTGATTCTCGGAATTCCTACTTGATATCGTGTATCTTTGCAGACGACGAAGGAATAGCGGAATCAGGGATGTGATGCTCGAATACCTCATATCGTTCAGGGATCAACGAATACGAGGATCATTTAGAGGTATTTTGAAGGACGACAGTGGCATTCGATGGCCCGTGTGTTTAGAACTCAAACAAATAAACGGAAGCTGGAGCTGAGGAAGAATCAATGTGTCTGGTTCTGTTTAGAAAGACTTGTGATGAATTTTTTTTCAACCATGATTCCAGAAGTGATTGTTTTCTAGTTAGTTTCCTCGTGGCGGGCGACACGTGCCCAAGTGATAACAGTTTTAGTTTTCATTCACGTTTTGTGAAACTGTGAACTGAACGACGCCAAAGCTCACGAAGAAGTTTTGTACACGGGAAGAGTTCGAGATCGTCTTGACAGCACGTGGATGGTAAATCAGCCGACAATAATTCATTTCCACTAATGCTTTATAGCGGAAGTGTGGCTCGAAAGGTAATTTACTCATTCTGGAGAGAATTTATGCGAACGAGAATTCCCAGATTTTGTATCGTAGGTGGACAAACTTTAGGAGAGAAATTCCTTCCCTTTTCAAATTATAAACACTTTCTGGCTTTGATAACATTTGAAAGATGTTTGAAATTTTTTTAGAATTTCTAACATTTCGAAACGTTTCTACGGAAATTGTAATTGTAAGAGACTTGAATTAGTATATATAATTAAGGCGTAATGAGTGGAGAAGGAAAAGTGTAAATATCAGTTTATATCGATCACTTTAATTTTTAAGTGTACAGGATATTTAAGTATATTGTGTATGGTCAAAGGAGTTTAGAGGTTGCCATAATTGGACTACATGTACGTTAAAGCTGCTGATATGTTAGTATAATTGGTTTTCTATTTTTACAGTTGATTAATATAATGATTATTATGTATAACTGTATTGTGACAGTTAATGAAATATATTAACATCAATTTCCAATTTTTATATCTGTAATTTTTGTACTTTTAATATGTCTATTTTTCAAATTTTTATACATGTTTGGAATTTTTATATTCCTTTTTCTATACCACTATCTTTGTATTCCTTAATTTTTCTATTTTGGAAAATCTGTGTTCAATTTTTGTAGTTTTCGAATTTCAGTCTTCTCCAATTTTGATAATTTACAAATTTCTATATTCCCTAATTTTATACTTCTGAATGTACATATTTACAAATTTCTATATTCCCAAATTTCTATGTTCCCAAATTTCTACATTTCAGGAACTCTATATTTTCAAATCGCTATGTGTCTAAATTTCTATATTCACAAATTTCTATGCCTCCCAAATTCCACATTTCCCAAATCTCTATATTTTCAGAATTCTATATTTCTAAATTACTCTGTCAAAGTCTCTATATTCTCAAATTTTTATATCTTCAAATTTCTAAATCTCCAACTTTCTGCATTTTTCAAATCCTATATGTCTAAAGTCTCACATTTCCAAATTTCTCCCAATTTCTACAGTCTCCAAATTTTGATATTTCCCAAATTTCCATATTTCAAAATCTCTACATATCCAAATCTCTATATCTCCAAATTTCTATATTCCTAACTCACTATATCTACATCCATATTTTTATATTCCCAAATTTCTATATTCCTCATTTTGTATATCAAACATCTATATTCTAAAATTTCCCAAATACTACTATTTTATCAAATCTCCATGATCCTCAATTTCATAATCCAAATTATATAATTCAGATGCGTATATTCACAAATATTCATAGTCCCAACTTTTGATATATACTTCTTTAATAGAACATTTTCAGTTGAATTTAATTGCACTAATACAATAATTCAACAATCAAATTTCTGTATTTTACAATACACAAATATTTCCATATTTTACAATACAGAAATTTTCCTAGAAAACTAATTTTCTTAATTAACAATAGAATCTTAATAAATTATATTTTTCCTCTTTCAGAATATATTTTTTAATAAATTCCTATAAATTGAAACTATTTTATCATTTTAGATTTTAAATAGTGGTGGTCCAAATTTGGCAACCTTTCCCCATAAGAATTGTTACTTTAAAATCTTCCGTTGCGTATATTGTGATAAATGAAAAATTACGCTGAATAAAGCATTGCATGCAATATCGAATTGGTGCACGTTCTGGTATTAAAACGTTTTTATAATTAAAAACATTTAACTCGGGAAACTTGTCAATCCTCGAATGGTTGTATTCTGTCAATTTACTAACGGATGTAATTATTATCAACTGACAAATGGCGAAGCTGTTTCAATTACGACGCAATATTTTATCCATGTCGAAACTGTTTTACTTTTAAGTTAAAATTTTTTAGTGAAATTATATTTAACGCAATAATGACAAGAACAATTGAACTTTGATGTCGTAAATTACGAGAGACAGCTCCGTCATTTGAGAGTTAAAACTTTAGAAGTTGTATGAATCATTCTCGACTGCGTATTTCTTGGATTTTCTAATAAAGCAAAATATTTCCATAAAATAATAATTATATGAACCAATAAAAAATTCTGAAACAATCGATGCTTGCATCGGAATTGAAAATAAGGGCTCGAAGTGTTTATAAATTGTCAAGGAAGCGTTTGGCTACCTATTTTCTCGTATTTGAAAATCGTTCGCACTCCATTTTATGTCTCGAAAGAATTCTGCGCAGAAACTGTGAAGTGACGATTGTCAAACGAAGAATGATGAAGAATGATCAAAGTGAAAAATAATTTACACGAAAGAAGCTGTAAGTGTATGGCTTATCCTGGAAGAATAGATCTGATAGCTTTATTAGAAGTTGCAGGATAATTGGTAAGGAGAAAGTGTTTGCTAATAAATACTATGTATTTCATGATTAAATAGCAGTGACGAACATCGATTACCTTACGTTTTCCAAAATTGTTCACATATCGGCAAAGCAAACTTTTAATGTGACATTGCGAATTTGATCCTTTAAATATAAATAAGTCAACGTGTCAGCTGATTTTAGAAAGCGGAAGCACGTTAAAAAAATAACATCTCTAACGGTGATTATTTTTCGAGATTTTCGAAAGATTCTGCATTTTTGGTATTTCGGAAAATAATTACCGTAATTAATGACACATTCGAATTTTGAGGGTATTTCTTTCTTGATAGGCATTGTCGATTGATCGAAACGATCGATGTTCGCGTTTAGGTACCTACCGTGATGTAGATTAGTCCTGGTTGCATATCTTAAGGGTTGTAAGATGCGTATCCCGCGTTGGGTTGCCACGATTGATTCGTTGGATTCGCAAGAAAATCGAGCTTCATACTTCCAAATAATGTCACTAACACCTATTTCTGTTACTTGCAAAAGTAATGATACTGGGCAAAAGCATTGATAATTATTTTTATCTTCATAATCTCATGACTGGAGTTGATATTTTCTGCTGGATTCCACGTATGGGGTTGAATTTTATTTGAAATGAATTATATGAAATACTTTATTACTTATATTCTTCAAATAACGTAAGAAAACTTTTACAAACTAAATGTACCTAGCATTGCCCACTAGAAGTTTAATCTCAGAAGTCTTATTATTCTGCCTTATAGAAATCAAATTACTCTCACTTGTGGAAGAAGTACTATCTTTGTTTGATCTTGCACTCAAGGTTAGAAATATTTTATTCGACGTAATTCGTTATTTCAAATAATTGTATTTTATAAAATAATTTTATCTTGTGTTTAATTCAGTAAATGTATTCCCTTAACATTTGAATCGCAATCAGTTCAGTGTTACATTTTAATCGACTATTCCAATTGCAGAGATTATCCCAAATCCTGGGTTGAAAATATTTTATTTAAATCAGTTTATTATTTCAAGCATTTTATTGATGGTATTTTATAAATAACAATGAGGCAAAACAATTGCATGTGTTTAATTCAGATGTAAATAATATACGCAGTTAAATTTGAATTGATATGATCTGAGTAAGAATTTGTGTTTTTTTTTATGGAATTTGTTTTAATACATTTTGTGGCAGCAACACATATTGATTATAGAATATACATCCCAACAAAGATAATTATTAGTACTTATAGTCTAATCAATCTGATGATCCATACAATACCCCACATGTGATAGTTTGAAAATCCTCAGCAATTCAATAAATCTGCAATTGATGATGACAATTGCAGCCGAAAATGTACATCTCAGAGAAGATACTTATTACAAAAGTTTCAAATTGTACCAACAAATCAAAACGTACTTTAACATCCTCTAATCTTTCATTTTTCATACAGGAACAGAGAAAATTGTTCATCGTTCCAACATTAAAGAACGGCATACTTATCTTTCCATACTTAACTTTTTCTGAGGCACTCTGCATAATAGAAACTTGGAAAGTTACATCTGAATAATTTAAAAAGTTACATCAGAATAACTTTTGAAGTTATTTGAACTTCAAAAGTAATTTCTGGAAACGTAACGGCGTTCAATCAACGAAAAGTAAACTGCTTTTAAATTAACGTGAAACGCGTATGTGGGTTTCAGTTTATCCATGAGCTTTACCGGATATGCTTTCTATATTTTACAAATTTTATTTCTGTAGCTGGGTCACTATGATTGCGTTACAGTTATTTCTGGAATGATATTCGTTCTTAGCTGTTTGACCTTTTAATGGGAGAATTGATCTGCATTTTATAAAGAATTCTGATTATAGAAAACAATTACATAGTTTGTGCGAAAAGTGAGTTTAACCTCTCAAATACAAAATATGTTTATTGACATTAGGTTTAGGGACATTTCTTATATACCCGTCTCTACGAACACGCGTCAATTTGACGCTCGAACGAATACATATATTTAAAGAAAAACAGCCACTTAGAAATCAATATAATTAAACACTACAAGTAAGAAATGAAAATATGAGATATATATTTATAGAAAGTTTTTATTATTCAAGAATATTTTAGTACATTACTTCAATATTCTACATTCATATTTTTACTTCCTTCTATCTTGCGAACTGCGATTTGTACTGCAACGCCGGGTCCGATCCCGGCATACCGGCTGTGCCGGCCGTGTGCGACTCCAGAATAGCGAAGTCCGTCGTTTATAAGGTATTGTCGGTGCATTCATATTTATTATTGTTGTAATTTTTGCGTGGGTAAAACTAATTTACTAAAAATTGTATTTACATTACGATCGCGTCAAATTGACGCACATCCGCAGAGATAGGTATACCACATAGCAAATTTCGATATTTCAAAGCTTTTGACGCGCATGAATGGATTAACGAGATTCCCAATCTGTCCCTATCTACTTTCTAGCGAAACCACTGCCAAGGGAACGGGCTTGGAAAAATTAGCGCAGAGATAGGTATACCACATAGCAAATTTCGATATTTCAAAGCTTTTGAAGAAAATAGACTTCAATATATATTTACCTCGTTCAATGGATAAAAGTCAGTACAAGAGATAAAATAAAAATGCGAACGATTTTTGTAATTTTCTTAAAACAATTCGAAACACGTCAAAATGACGCGTCTTGTCAACCTAGTGTTAATGATCGAATGACAGAGTTGTTTGATATTTATATATTTAATTATTGCTTATTTATTTGCTGAATATTTGTCATTGGTGTTTGAAGTTTCACCATCGCAATTCTCCATAATGATTATTATAGTTAATTGTGTCACTTTATATAATTTTAACTCGGATTTTTATTAGTATCTAATTAAAACTAGTATTGATTTCTATTAATATTCGGTGAACTAATATAGAATTCTGATTAACTTTGGTCGCTATATTACCAATGTTTGAATGATACGCGATTTAATTAAGATTTAATTAATTCAAGTTTGTGTATTGTTTCATCAAATATTTACCAAAAATATTTGATGAAGCATATCATGCTTCAAGTTATAAAAGATGAGAATGTTCATCTAATTTTGAGGTTAATTTTTATTGAAATAACATATTGACATTTTTGCTCTAA